GGAATGGGGGGGCTACAGGGGATGAGGTTATAGGGAATGAATGATATAGGGCACGGAAATAAAGGGAATGGGGGCTATAGGAGATTGGGGGTATAGGGAAGAGGGGACTACGGGGGATAGGAATATAGGGAATGGGGGGATATAGGAGATGTGGAACATACAGAATAGCAGGGATAGGGAATGGGGTGCTGGAGGGGCCGGGGGCTACAGGGGCAACACTGAATTCTTTCACAGAATCATGGAATTGTTCAGGTTGGAAAAGTCCTCTGAGACCATCACATCCAACTGATCCCCCAGCACCGCCAAGGCCACAACTAACCCATGTCCCAAGTGCCACATCCACACTGCACTTAAAATCCCTCCAGGAATGGTCACTCCACCCCTGCCCTGGGCAGCTGTGCCAGGGCTTTCAGGGAAGGAATTTTCCCTCATATCCAATCCATCCAATCCAGCTCATTTCTCGGGGCTGCAGCCAGCACTCCAGAGCTGGATTTGGGCTCTGCAGAGCTGCATGGTGGGATCACCCTGTTCCTGCTGCTCCTGGGCTGGGACACGTGCCTGTCTCCCAACACCTCCCCCTGTAACTGGCCTCTTCCACGGGGAAACCACCTGGAGCCCAGCACCCCAAATCCAAGTCAGCTCCTTCCTGGGCCACAGCTGCCCCCGGCCCCCCTCCTGCCCCAGGAAAGGGTCCTCACACCAGGAAGTGTTTCTGCATTTATTTTTTATTAACCATTTATTTGTCTGTAATTGTTTTACTCTCACATTACAATCGTGTGGGGGTTTTTATATATTTTTTTTTAAATCTTATTTTTATAAAATAAATAGAGATAAGTGAACTTTTAAGGTAGGACACTCTCCAGATCCTTGGTTAAACTCCATGATTGAATCTCTGCATCAGACCTGTGGAAGCACAGCCCACACACGCTCAGGAGAAAGCTCAACAGCCCGAGTTCCTTGAGATCCCACGTCCTGGATGTGGGGCTGCACCAGAGCCTGGCAGGAGCAGCGGCTCCCACCACGCACCTTCCCCCTTCGCCAGGTATTTCCTGGTCCTTCAACAAATACACTGATATAAGTTAAAAATCTATTGTTTTTTTAAGCTGTGAATGTTAATGGGTTACGTGTGATCCCAAACTCTGGCTCTCCCATGGAGGGGACCCCGCCGGGGCCGCGCCGGAGCAGCGCGGGAGCGGGTCGGGAAGAGGCACAGCTCTGTTAGACCATAATTAACTTTGGGTAACTGAAAAGTGGATTTTTAGGTAGTTTTTAAGTTTAAAGCCTTTGATTCATCATCCTGTGACGTGGCCCTTGGCCTCCCTGACACGGGGGATGGTGCTCGGTGAGGCCCCGGCGCCCGGCCGTGGTTTGAGGACCCTCTCCCAAGCCTGAGTCCTGACATGTGGGTGGCACCTTGGGATGGCCACCAGGCCACCTCCCTGGGCCTGGCCCAGGTGCTCAGCACACGCAGGAACACGAGACGTGGGGCAGCAGCAGCAGTGACAGGTCAGACACACCACAGGGGGTGTGGCAGAGGTGAAGTCACCGTCAGCATAGGGACAGAAGGTTTCTCACCCCTTCCCTCACCAGTGTTTCCTTCACCATGGCTGGCTGTTTGCTGAGAGTCTGCAGATCCCATGAGACTGGCTGGAAGAAAAACTGGGAATTTCTGGACCTTGCAGGTTGCCACAGTCAGTTTTGCACAGAGCAAGTTCTGCTCTCAGCCAGGTACATCCCACCTCTGGAAGGAATCCTGTCCTTTGGCTTTGCCTCCCCCTTCCCACACCCATTTTCAGACCCTGCACGGATCCCAGGGGACAAAAACATTCATTATTGAGACATGGAAGGTGCGGAAGACGGAGCAGGCTCTCCCTGGGTAGCTGTGACAAAGGTGCTTTGCTCAAAGCAGGTGACCTGCTGTCTTCCCCCTCCTTAGTGATTCTCTCGTGCTCAGCCCAGGGGTTCCATGCCCAGTTCCAGGGACAGACAAGCCACAGCCGTGGCCACACAGCGTGTGCAGTGTCCAGCCCCTCACCACCACCTCAGTGACCACCTGCTCATGGACTGGCCCCGGGGCCCCCTCGCTGCCCGGGCAGAGCTCCCAGGGGACCAGACGTGTCTGTGGAGTTCTCTGTGGGCAGAAGGACAGGGGCAGCAGGAGGGACAGTGCCAAAGTGTCCCAGACTCCCCACCAGCACTGTGGGCTTGGGTGGAATTGGTGACACAAGTGACTTGCTCCAGGCTTGGTGGGATCGTTGGAGATCTTCGTTCTCTTCCTTCCCTCTTCTTCCTCATGTGCAGCCTTACAGTGTGGGGCATCCTGCCCTGCTCTTCTCATCTCCTTGAGCCCCTTCTCCCAGGATTCCTGCCTCCCTGGGCCACCAGGTCACCTTCTGTCCTTGCTTCCAGTGGAGAGGACGCTGCAGGGAGGGAGGAGGAGGTTCATGCAGAGGAGTCACTTCCCTGCCTCCCTTGCCCCGCTCAGCAGTGCAGGAGCAGGTACATCCCATGCAGACAGACAGCTCGGGTCTCGCTGCCCTGTCCCAGGAATTCTGTTTGGCACAGGGTTGGCAGCAGCGGGAGGGTCCCATGGAGCTGTAGGTGAGTCCTGACTTAGTCCTTGAAGCAACCTACGCTCCAGTAAAACAAGGAACAAAGACTAAAACAAGACCCTTCTCAAGGGTGTTGCCTCATCCAAGTCCTTCCAAGCTCAGGAGCCGTGTTTCTGACAGAGAAGCCAACCACTGGAAACAAAAATAAATGTTCCTTTTCTGTAGCTTTTAGAGGATATAGCTGGAAAACGAAACAAAACAAAAACAAAAAAAGGAGATTGTCTCTTCCCCTTGTCAAACCCATCAGTAGCTAAGTCAGAAGAACAAATGTTCAAGTTATGGGGTGCAGCAGCAGCCAACACGAAACATTCAAGTCGATGATTTCACTATGTACAGGAGGCCCTGCCCCGACCCGCTCGCTCGCCGTTATCTGATCCGCTTCTCCACCGAGTACACCGAGATGTAGTAGTCATTGCTCCCGACGGCCAGGTGGGGCTGTGGGCAGAGCACACGCACAGTCACGGCAGCAGTCAGGTTGGAAAAGCCCTCCCAGCCCATGGATCCCCCCTGTGCCCGATGCCCACCCTGTCCCCCAGCCCAGAGCACTGAGTGCCATGGCCAGGCTTTCCTTGGACACCTCCAGGGCTGGGCACTCCAAACCTCCCTGGGCAGCCCCTGCCAAGGCCTGACCACCCTTTCCATGAGGAAATTCCTCCTCATGTCCAACCTGAACATCCCCTTGAGGCCGTTCCCTCTCCTCCTGTCCCTTGTTCCCTGGCAGCAGAGCCCGACCCCCCCCAGCTCCCCCTCCTGTCAGGGAGTTGCAGAGCCAGAAGGTCCCCCCTGAGCCTCCTTTTCTCCAGGCTGAGCCCCCCCAGCTCCCTCAGCCTCCCCTCCTGTGACTGCCTCCCCAAAGGTCCAGGTGTGGAGCAGTGACAGGGGCAGGTAAGGGTGACATTCCAGCAGGGACCCGCGGCTGCTCCGGCTCTGAGTGCGTCTGCTCTGACGCATTCCTGCAGCACCCACACTCCCAGCCAGTTACAGGCCCATTTCAGCCACAGGGAGAAATTATGGGGACTATTAGCTGCCAACTGCCAACATAATTTCTCTAAATGGCTGCAAATCTGCTCTTAGGAGGTGCCTGGGCTGAAAGGGAGCATTTCCTGCAGTGAGGGATGGGACAGACCCGGCCGGGAGCCCTGGGCTGGACAGGGCTTTGCTTTGCTTATTTGGCAAACCCATTTTGGGTGATTTTCCCCACTTCTTCCTCCATCCCCAACTGCAGGGCAGCAAAATCGCTCTTGGCTTCCTACAAAGAGGCTTTTCAGAACTGAGATGAGCCTTCCTTTACCCCTCTACCTTCAGGATGCCAAACACACATCCCTCAGGCAGGAAAACCACCTTCCCCCTCCTGCTCATGCCAAACCCTCACAGGGTCACACAGCTCCTCCCTCCCCTTCTCCAGGCCCTTGATCCTTCCCACCGCCCTTCTATTACATATTAAATATTTGTGTGCTGATCTGCAGGTTTCTAAAATAACTGTTTTAACTCCTTCCTGTTTTCCCATCCATTCACGTTGTTCTCTCAGGTTTTCCATCTCCTTTGTTTCTTCTCATCCCTGGGTGAGCAAAGTCCACCACGCAGATGGGACCTGCCTCCTACTTGAGCAGCAACCAGATTCTCTAACTGCTGTGACATATTCCAAATTTCCTTTTGTTCTGATTCATTCCAGCCTTTATCAGCTTATGCCTTCAATTTCTGCAGTTCTCCCATTTTCCTGACGTGCAGTTTTTTCCTGCACAGCATCAGCTTTACGTAAAACAGCGGGAGAGCAGCCCCAGAGACCTGGGGTGAGACCCCTCTGCAGAGCCCAGGCAGGGAATAGAGAAGCACACGAAATTTGGAAGTGTGAGCCCTCCCACACAGACACTAAGACATGCCAACCCCAAAGCCAGGCAGGGGACACAGACCCAGTGAGGGTGGAAGGCCAGGCAGCTGATGGCTCCGACTCTCTGTCCCATAAACCCGTCGTAGTATTTGATGTTGTTGATCAGCTCCCCGTTCCCGTTGTAGATAGCAGTGAACTGATTCATGGAGCCACTGGAAGGGAATGGAGAGAACATGGAGTCACTGGGAATGCTGCCTAGGGACAACACTGCTGCCTGGCAGAGCTGTGTGTCACACCAGTGTGCAGAGAGTTCTGGAACACACAAGGCCCCAGGAATGATGTCTGTGGGGGCAAATTTTCCCCTCCAGGGTCCCAGGACTTACCAGGCGAAGAGGTTGGCCTGGGGATGGATGTCGAGGGCCGTGAGCCCCTTGACGATCTGCAGGACCTTCATGGACTCGGGCATGCGGGGGTCGAAGAACCGCACGTCCCCGTTGACGCTGCCAACACAGGAGTTCCTCAAGGTCAGGCTGTGCCCCAGGCAGATCCCAAAGCCCAGGACATGGAGCTGCAGGGCTGTCTGTGAGCTGACTGCCTCAGTGGGAAATGAGGACAGAGCAGAACTGTGCCCTTGCCTTCCCCCTCAGCATGGTTGAGTTCTCACCAGTGTCACTCACATGTGGTCCCATCCACAGCACATTCAGTGCTGAGCAAACAGCCCTGCTCTGCCCTCAGGAGTGATCCCTCACTGCCTCCATCGCTCACAGCTCATCACCCAGCGTGTCTGTCACACCCAATAGACCCAGCTCCACGTCAGCCCAAATTCCTGCTGCTTGGCACAGCAGGAAATTGCATTAGAGAGCTCTGAGCAGATGGGATGTGCTGGTGCCATCCATTACTCCAAGTGTCTGGACACAGCCACACCAGTCAAAGGTGACCAGGTCTAACAGATCCTGTGGATGCTCAGGCCAGGTGTCATCCCAGGGATGGCTTTGTCAGGGAAGAGGGGAGGAAGCAGCAGCAGCAGTGACAAGGTATTGTGTTTTCAAACACAAATGACTCCTGTTTGTTAAGGATCTCTGAAATCCACCCTGAGAATCCTGTCTGTGAGATGCCAAGAGGGCACAAACCTCTGACAGCCCTGGAGCCAAGGACTGGAGACTGCTTCAGTGCATCTGTTGTGAGCTCCTTGTAATCATGGAATTATGCAGTGGGGTGGGCTGGGAGGGAATTTAAAGCCCATCTCATTCCCACCCCCTGCCATGGGCAGGGACACCTTCCACTATCCCAGGTTGCTCCAAACCCTGTCCAACCTGGCCTTGGACACTTCCAGGGATGAGGCCAAGACACTGGTCAGCTGGGGCACAGAAAGACAAACAGAAAAGTCTCCCATGGCATTTAAATCCCAGATGATCTGATCCTGTTCTGCCAGCAGCATCTGTGAGGCCTCTGGCACCACAACTTTAAAGAGTTATTTTTCCCAAATCGCTGATGGCCACACAAATGTGAATCACTCAGTGGAGCTGAGAACAATGGAAGCATTAATCAGAATATTGCCTTCAGTTTCCCTACCTCTGGAATAACTAATGCTGACCAAAAGGCTGTTCCACAGCATTACTTAGAGCATTGTAAGAAGCTGCAACTCCAGCTGTCCCATAATTAAGTTTAAGAGAAATTAAACTTGATTTACATCCTAAAGACTAGATGGAAATAGTGTTTGAGAAATCAAATATAGAGTGACTTCATGTAAAGCTTTGGACCTTTACAGGACTTTAAAATGGTTCTGAATGTATAGGGAGACTGGAAGAGCTTCAGCATGGAAGTGAAGCTCTGTGGGGAGGGATGACACAGGAAACACATCCCAGTTGGACAATAACAGGCAACAGGAAGCAACAACTGAACACAACATCACTGGGGAACCAGTGCTGGGTGATGGGGAGCTGCAGGATCCAGCTGGAGTTACACTCCTGTGTCCCAAATCCCTTCCTGGGCCAGGGAAAAAGTTCTGCTGAGGCTCAGAGAACTGCTCCATCAGCAATAACACCTTTGTGTTTCACAGGGAATAGTTACACCACTATGTCCTAACATTTGTTTTTCTTGGATCTTGCTGTCAGCTGAAGCAGAGGGAATGGGGAGGAACTGAAGAAGAGAGTGAACTGGGAGGAACTGGGAGTGAGGTGGCTCATGTGCACGACCTGAGCTGCTCTGGGAGGAGACCAGACCTGTTGTTTGAAGCACAACATCTCCTCACAGCCCTCCAGCCCCGAGAGCAGCCCGGGCTGAGAAGGGCCCTGAGGAGAGGGGACACCCAGCCCTCGGCCCCGGGGCACACAGACCTGACCCCCGGAGGAGCTTAGGGAAAGGAAGATTAAAAACTCTAATATGGGAGCTCGACAAATCTGGCAGCTGCATCACATAATCCCCTTCCTGAAAATCTTCATACATTTTTGCTGGCCCATCCCCCACCTCAGGAATGTTCTGAATCCCAGAAAACTACGCTTTGTTTCCATTTTGTAATCAAGAAAAAAGAGGCTCTTTGTGTGCAAACAGTGGCTTTGTGACAATAAATTATATTCTGCTGTTCTTTAATGGCCAAATCAGTATATGCTGCTCTCGCTGCAGTATTTACCAGGCGGCAGAAATGGATTTATGTGTAGAAAATTGCCAGGCAGCACAGTAATCCTGCCCAGCAATATGCCTGACAGATGCAACATCAGCCTTCCTCCTCGTGTTCTCTCCCAAATGACCCCACGGAGACATTGGCAATAAAGACCCACCACCACAACATATTCTATATCCAGCTTCGGCTCCTGCCTCGCTCCCTTCCTCCCTCACACGCCTCGTGACGGTGATTCCAGCATCTTGTTTACTCCCAAGCCACACCAACAGCCTTCCAAGGAAAGCTCCACATCCCTTTTTGCCTTCTCCCCACTGAGTTTGGAGCAGGAGTTAATTACTGACGCAAACGTCAAACTAAAGAGCTTTACCCTCTCAGCTCTTGGGATACCAGAGGCAGAATTTAAAGGGGAAAACAAACTGTGTGCAAGGGAAAACAGCTCAAAGAGTAGAATATCGTGTACCTGACGCTCATGATGTTGCCCTCGGGGTGTTTCTGCAGGTAGGCCTTCACCACCCAGGCCGTGTGCTCCCGGTAGGTCATGACCCGGCTGGGGAACAAGGAGAGACACGTTTGGAGGGCAAAGAGGAGGAGGAAGCACGAGGATCCCAGGGAGCCTGGGAAGGAGAGGGAATTACCATTCACTGAGGGCCATCCTCCTGTCGAACACGCGGATGGAGCCGTCCCCCAGCCCCGCCACGATGAGCGAGCGGTGGGAGTCGCAGGAGAGGCTGGTGACACAGCTGTCAGCTCCAGTGGGGATGTCCTGGGGAGAGAGCACACCACAGCCACGCTGAGACCACGGCCTGCCCTCACTCACTGCCCTCACGGTCCTACACCAAGGTCCTGCCCCATCCCTGCAAGTGTCCAGGGCCAGGTTGGACGGGGCCTGGAGAAACCAGGGCTAGTGGAAGGTGTTTCTGCCCATGGCAGGGGGTTGGACGAGGTGACCTTTAAAAGTCCCTTCCAACCCAAACCATTCCATGATTCCATGACTGCCAGCCTGCTTTTGCAGTGCTGCTCAGCTGCTTTTACTAGTTTTAACTGAAAATGTGTTTCCTCCCAACAGGCACAGGGATTATTCCGAGCAATCCTTTTGCCTGTAGCAAGTAAAAGAGAGCAAGTGGGTGGAAGGTGGGAAGGGACCTTAAAGTTCACCTCATTCCAACCCCCTGCCCTGGGCAGGGACACCTTCCACTAGCCCAGGTTGCTCCAAGCCCCTCCAACCTGGCCTTGGACACTTCCAGGGCTGGGGCAGCCACAGCTTCTCTGGGCAACCTGTGCAGGACCTCCTGGAGCTGCAGGAGCTCGTTTCACACTTCAATCCTATTTTTGCCTCTGTGCAGATTCACCTTTGGAGCTGCTGTTCCAGCCTGGGCTGAGCTGGGAGAGGCACCAGCCCCGGGGTTGCTCCAGCCCCAGCCCACCCCCAGCTCCTCCTTTGAAGCAGCAACACTCAGCAGAAGTGCAAATGAAGCACTTGTTCCTGCAGCTCCAGCCCAAGTGCTTCCAGAGGTGTGGGGTTTTGTACTTCAAAGAGGGAAGGCACCTTTATCCTCCTGGATTATTCCTGCTCTTTGTGCTGATTCTCACTTTCCCAGTTACTGAGTCAGGAAGTTCCAATCACTTGAATTTCAACACAACCCAATCTTTCCAATTAAAAAAAGAAACAACATGTTTTTAGACACTTTCGGTGCAATCATTAATCATCATAATTTAAAAGATTTTCGCCTCCTGAATTTTGCTGCTCCCTAATTTACATAGAAAAAAATAATATGCGAAAGTAATTAAGATTAACAGAGGCTTAATTATCCTGCATCGTGGGGTCAAAGTGTCGCAATTAATGTTCATCCAAGGGTAATTAATTTCGAGAAGCTTTGAAAACTCGACTTCCTTTTTATTCCAGCATGGTGCCTCCGTTCTCACCGACCAGCTGCTCCTCCTTGGAATTTCTGAGAAACTTCCATGTGGTTAGGAATGACATGAACTCCTGCAGTGCCTTTTATCTGTTCTGTGGCACGGAAAGTTACGTGGGACTGAAACTGCCCTCGTGGTGCCTCGTTTGAGGTGTGAACACCCCAGGTCCTGGCTCAGGTGTGGACTGAGCAGGTATGGAAGTGCTCTCCACATGGACTCAGCTTTCCTGGACACACACCTTTGGCTGGGAAGCACTGGAGCAGTGCTGCTCCATCACCAGCTCCGTGTGTGTCCCAGAGGAGCAGAGATGGCAGCAGAACGTCCAAATGCTCCACCACCAACCCAACTCACCCCTGAATTTCCTCACAAATCACAGAATTGTGGAATGGTTTGGGTTTAAAGGGACCTTAAACCTCATCTCATTCCACTGCCTATCCCAGGTTGCTCCAAGCCCTGTCCAACCTAGTCCTGGACACTTCCAGGGATGGGGCAGCCACAGCTGCTCTGGGCAACCTGTGCCAGGGCCTTTAAAGATTTACAATATTTCAATTACATGCTAATTAGGAAACCCAATCTGCATCCTGGTGCCTGCCTCTGGCTTCCAGATCCTCACCCTCCCCAAACACTGCTGCCTGTCCAGAATAACAGCAGCAACTTCTAAGAAAGCCCTGACACTCCCTGAGTACATGTGTGGTTTTACTGATCTTGGACCATGACCCTGGGGCAGGGAAGCAGAGAAGCAGAGCAACAGCAGCTCCAGGAGCTCCAGGACCTGGCAGCTCCTCACAGGTGAGTCTCAGCTGCTTTGGGATAACTCACCCACGGGATGTGCTCCAGGAGGGAAAAGGTGCCTGGGACAAGCACACAGGTGTTACCTGTACTTTCATTTCCCGATCCGTGTCCCAGATCCGGATTATCCGCACATCTCCCGAGGTCATCAGGAGCCCAGTCTCTTGTTCCCAGTCGACCACCATCCCTGCCCCTAGGACAGAACACAGGCAGGGGTGCAAATCAGCATCAGCATGGGCAGAGCTGCACTCATTCAGAGCATCAGCTCTCCTGACCTCGTGTGTCAGACACTGCCATTGTCAGAGGAAATGGAAAATCACACACACACATCCACACATCCCCCAAAGGGGATCCAATCAGCTGCTCCTGGATTGGAGCCCAAAATGCCTTTGTCCCCTTGTCTGAGTGCTCAGAGAGGCAGCCAGTCCTGGCAGCAGGGGAGTACAGCTTCCAGGACACTGCTGGGGACTTCCAAGGGGCCAATAAATTATCCAGCACCTCATGAGAACTCTGGATTAAATAATGATTGAAGACTCAACTGGTGACACCTCACAGAGCAAGACCTGAGAGCCTCTGGATCACCACAATTCCTCGTTCCAACACAAAGATGTGGGAAATGTTTCTCAACAAGGAACAGCAAAGTCAGTCAGCTGCAATATATTGAATTTAACAGCTGGTGGGAGCACAAACCAGTTTGCTGCACAGACTGGTAAGGACGGGAACACCCTGCAATGACAACACTAAAATCCTTTACAAGAGCTTTTGCTCCTCATCTCTGAGGGCACAGACCAATCTTCAGGTGAAGTTCAGAACAACATCCCATCCATTTTGTAAGAGCATGACAAGGGATTTTCTATCCTCAAAGCACCTGACACCTGCTTACAGACAGACTGTGTGTGCTCATGAACCTTGCTGGGACAGAATTCCCAGAGCAGGGTGAGTGTAGGTCACCTCCTTTCTGGGAAACATTGGCAATGAACCCCCTGATTCTGGTAGGGGAAAACCTCCAAGGAACAATTCTTGTACATTTTACTGGAAGGCACTCTGTACCTGTGTGCTGCCTCCACAGCTCAGGAATGTCCTGTTCAAAGCAGAGCCACACACCCATTATTGTTTGCTTTTAATGCTGCAAAGGCTGAGCAACCCCAAATCTATGGGATTTCCAGGGAGACTCCCATTCATCCATTACAAACAGAAACAAGAAATCCCGGGAGCACCACAGGAGGGAAGCAGAGAAGAACTCCAGGTTTGGTGCCTGTTTGCAGCCCCTGGGGCAGGGCAGAGGCAGCAGCAGCCCTGGCTCCCACAGCAGCATCCCTGCCCTGCAGAGCAGCATTCCTGCCTCCCAGAGCAGTTGTCCACCCTCTCCTCTGTGCCAAACCGAGCCTCTGGTGCCGAGCAGTGTTTCATAACCACACACAGCCCAGAGTCAGAACCCTCTGCAATGCATCAGGACTGCAGCTCCTGCCCTGAGCCACTCGCCTTCAGCACCATTCCCGTGTCTCCACTCCACAGCTTGCTTGTCCAGAAGGTACAAATGTGAATTTTTCTGCATTTACTGCCAGGAATCAGCCCCAGCAAGAAATTTAAGCCTACCCCAACATGCTCTTTGTCACCAAAGGGCCACAAGTACTTTGTACCAGAACAACCACCTTTACAGGGCACAAAAGGAAATGACAGAAACATCCTATAAACACTGAGTTTTCCTCAAAGATGACGGAATGACCCTGTTTTGCACAGATCCAGATAAAACATTTTCCCATCTGCCCTTCCTGAGCATCACAGCTGGCCAATTCCTGATCCTGCTGCATCCACGGAGGAGATTGCTGACATTTATTGACAGTCCATCACCTCACTGCAGGAAATTCGGGACTCCGGGCTGAGCTGGGAGCTTGGATCTTTATCTTTAGTCAAATGGGTTGTTCCTTCAGATTGCCTGGCAGCTCGGAGGGCTGGAGAGCTGAGGCAAACAAGCAGGCAGTGATTGAGATGATAAACATCACTGAAGTGTTTGCATTTGTCATCTCGTTTATGGCCCATGTGACAAGATAAACCTGGCAGCTGAGATGGATCTGGCCATTACCATCCCTGATGGAGTTCAGCAGGCAAAGTGTTCTAAGGCAGCTTTAAACTCCCAATTTCCCAGTTAGGTTCCCCGTTTAAGCCAAGGTGTTTTTGTCTGATCAGCACCAAGCCCTGTCTGGCTGCAGCTCCAGGGGCTGTTCGTGCAGGGGGACGCTCCCACCGCACCCCAGCCATGCCCTGACCAAGAAGGGGAGCCCAGGATGTGACTGGGAATGCTGAACCAGAACTCCAAGCTGTCTGAAGAGAAGAAAAGCTTTTGTACATACATTTAAGTCATTTGGAAGTGGGTAAGGGGGAAGGAAATGTTCCATCCAAAGCACACACTGACAGTGTGGAACGAGACAGAAATAGCTGAACTATTTCCATGTACGAGCAAACGTTCTCCTGGTAGAAATGATCCAGGATTGGCTCATGTTTCCATGCTAAATTCATAGTATTTTGGGACGAGAAGCAAACGTGGGACTTAATACTCACGATCATTTCCTTTTTAATTAACAGAGGTCCTTCTCCAGGATGTTACAACCGAGCCTGCAGCTCACCCGCCGCGTTCTGGCTCACGGCTTTGGCACCTGAGCTGCTCCTCAGCCTCCTCCTGGCAGGAGGGTGATGCTCTGTGCACCTGTGCGACCCCACAGCCGGGCTCTGCCCCACCTCCTGCCCTTATTCCACACTCCCACCTCCTCACAGAATAGGAATAACGGGGACAAGGCTGTGACACGGCCTGACACAGGCCAGGGGTGGAACCCTGGGGCTCCCAGAACGCAAGAACTGCCCCAAGTGGCGTCCCAGCCCTGCACTGCTGCAATGCATCAGGAGTGAGGATCACTGTTTGCCCCTAAGGAGTATTATGTTCTCAGATAATGAGCAACAAATATTCCACAGCTCAGGAAAAACGATTTTTAAAGGTCCGTGGTGAGTTGTTGTTTTTAGGTTTGTTTTTTGTTTGGTTTTGAGTCTTTTAACACCAGCACTTGCAGCTCCGTATGACGTCAGTTTACACACACCAACAGCCCTTCCTGAAAGTGTGACTTCCCATGGCTGTTCCCTCAGGATTCCCTCTGAGCAATTGGTCTGGATGGGACAGTTCCCTGGATAAATTTCCATAACTAACCCTGGTGAAAGCAGCTGCATTTCCAGCGTCTGCCTTCATTTGTAACGTCACTGGAACGTGGCCAGCCTGTCCTTGGCATTTCCACGGGATCGGGAATATCCACATGGAACACAACATAAAAGCATCTTGGATTCTGACTGATCATTTTTTAATCATGGGCCCTCCTGGTTGAGCAGTAAAGCACATCCCTGCTTTAATTTCCAGGAAGCAGTGGGAGGGTTGGATGACCTCACTCATCATTAATTTCTACAACATCCTCTCAAAAAGTGTCACTCTCCTCCTGCCAAGGACTGCACAGCGAGGGACAGCAGGAGCTGGGATGCTGGGAATCCAATTAAAAGAACACAAACCCCTGGAGCTGCAATTCCTCCAGTGATCTTATTGCCATAAAATAATCTGACCAAGAACATGGTGCTTTTCCCAAACTTCTTACTCCTGAAGGGCAAGGCACCAGCACCCCCTGACTCCTGCCAGCTCAGCTGCCTTCCCAGTGCTGAATGTCCTGGCTCAGACTTTGCTCCGTGCTCACACCAACTCCAGGGATTCCCAGAATAACCTGCCCAGTGGCCTGACAGGACCTGGCCCAGTAAGCCACTGGGGTTTCTTTAATTTATCCCTGACCTGTGAGACAGCCCCCAGTGATGCCAGAATGAAGAGACCTTCCCAGTCTTCCTTCTGGTAAAAATTCCTCATGGAAGCCTCAGTGATGAGAACAGATCTTCTGTATTATAATGACAAACCCAGGATATTTTATCATAAAATCATGGAATGGTTTAGGTTGGAGGGGACCTTAAAACTCATCTTGTTCCACCCCCTGTCATGGGCAGGGACACCTTCCACTAGACCAAGCTGATCCAAGCCCTGTCCAGCCTGTCCTGGCACACTTCCAGGGACGGGGCAATATCTAACTATTGCTGATGTATTTTGCTGTCAGGCAAAGAGCTGTTTCCATACATATTTAAGAGTTCTTCAGTGGGATGGGAGGAATCCTTGTGCTGCATTTGTCCCCAGGAGGACTGAAGATGCTGGGGAAGGCTTGGATCGATCTGTGTGCCGGGACTGTGGTCGGGTGGCGTCAGTGGGATCGATCCAACCGGAGCGGCCGGAATCCCCTCCAACTGCTGCATGCCCTGCTCACCGAGTGGGGAATTCCCTGCAGCCAAACCGTGCTAATTTTAGCCTTTGCTGGTGGATTTGGGAGTGAAGTGCAGGGCAAGGCACTCACAGCAACACAGCAGCTCTGCTAACTCCTGCCCCGCCAGAGAGATGTGCTAAAGTGGAGCTAATGAGCTCTGAATCACCTCCTGCCACCAGAGCCTCGGTGATTAATCAGTGCAGACACAGCCAGCTCTTATCAGTCAGCAAATATTAATAATTGATGAACATCCTGAAGTGACGATGTCACCATGAACAGCCAGGGACGCTCGGCCGTGCACACCCCCAGGATACCCTGACACATCACCATCTGTTCCCCCCAAGCCCTTGGCAGCTGTGGGAGAAGAGGGGTCAGGATCCAGAGTTTCAGAGACCCTGCACAGCCTTCCACCAGCCCAGGTTGCTCCAAGCCCTGTCCAACCTGGCCTTGGACACTTCCAGGGATCCAGGGGCAACCACAACTTCTCTGGGCAACCTGTGCCAGGGCCTCCCCACCTCACAGCCAAGAATTCCTTCCACAGATCTAACCTAAATTTCCCCTCTTTCCTTTTTGGCATATCCTTGCCAAAAGTCCCATACTCTGAGGCTCCTGGGAAAGATCCATCAGCATCTCCTCTTCCCATGATCTTTACAGCTGAAGTGTGTTATAAATAAACCCACAGTAGCTTTATGGTGGTTCCCCTTTCGAACCTGTCACTCAAACCCTTTTGTCCAGGGATGCTTTGATACCTTCCTGGAAAAGAGACACTTGAACATCCCACCCACACCTCCTCTGGCTGCAGGGAGCTCAGAGAGTCTGACATGAAGACTCCCTGCTCCCAGCAGTGGCTGTGCCTGCCCAGGGAGTTCCCTGCATTCCTCGCAGCTGTCACGGACACAGACACAAGTCAAGGGATGGGAGAGGTGGAAGCAAAGCTTCCCAGGAACCACAGGGACCCAGCAGTCATTCAAACCACACCAAAAACCCAACCAACCACCCCAAAGGTGGCCAAGGAGCTCCTCCCACCCACCTGAGCACAGGAACAGGAAAGCAGCACTCACCTCCCTGCTTACTTCTGTCAAGATAGATTGAAACCCTTCGGGCCAGACCTGTGAGGAGACAGGGATGAGGGGTTGGTGCTCAGGGTGAGTCGGTCAGCCAGAGCAAAAATAATCTTAAAAAAGGATTAGAAAAAGCAATTCAAATTAAAGATCCCAAAAGAGAAGCAGCAGCACCCAGAGCAGCACATGCCTCCATCCGAGCGCGGGCACTCGTTCCAGCACAGCATTCCTGGGAAGCCACCAGCCTGTCATGTGGAGCGAGGGCTTGGGCTGCCTGACAGCAGCACAGAGCTGACATTTCTGCTGGAACAAGGAGACCATCCCCTGCCTCAGCTGGTCCCAGTTCTCAAGTAGGTTGGGAAGTGACAGACGGATCTGAGCACAGAGCACGGGGCTGCTGCTGGGGGAGGTCGGGGCTCCTCTGCCCACACCTGGGTGGGCAGGCAGGTAACCAGCACCCTGAGAGTGCAACAACTCATGGGTGCTCTGTTTGAAGAGCTCCTAAATGGGAAGTGACCCCAGATACAGACTGGTTTCAGCCATGAAACCCCCAGGCAATGAGAGCAGAGCAGCAAATGGGGGTGAGAAATTGTGGGGCCACCCTGGAGAATCACAGAATCCTGAAATAGAATCCCAGAATGGTTTGGGTTAGAAGGAACACCTTAAAGGCCATCCAGTTCCACCCCCTGCCATGGGCAGGGACACCTCCCACTAGCCCAGGTTGCTCCAAGCCCTGTCCAACCTGGCCTTGGACACTCCCAGGGATGGGGCAG